AATTCTGCAAGTGGTTCTGCTTTACTATCGCTGTTCTCTAGCCGGTCTAAAACCGCTTTTGACCTAAAGGGACGCTTTTTGGACGCCATGGACGTTTCTCAGTTTCCAGGCAGAAAGAACAGTAAAAATGCAGGCAGGGCACCGGACAAAGCACTCGGGACAAAATGTATGTGAAATTGGTTGAGACAGCAATGTTTTACTATGAAAAATGTAAAAAAAAAAAAATGACATTATTTAAAATTTTTAAATTTCCCGCCGCCGGCGGCGCCCGTACGTCCCGACGTCACAGGGACAGGACACAGAAGCCGGATGCCGGCATCGGCCGGAGGAGATGGCCGGGGACGCTGCAGGGGACACATCGTGGGAGCGCAGGGTAAGGTAAGTGAAGAACACATGCCGGAGCAGGGCCGCATGGTATTCCCGAGTGTAGCTCGGGGTTACCGCTCTTGGTACTGAAATGTTACCCCGAGCTACACTCAGGAATACCGCCAAGGAGGTTAAAGGAAGGAGCTTTAATGGATACTCTATAATTGGAGATCTGACAGTCCTTGGTGACACTACAAATGCAGGTGATCCCACAGTCCCAGGTGACCCCCATAGATCCAGGTCACACAGTTCCAGGTGGCCCTCTAAACCCAGGAGATCCCACAGTCCCTGGTAATCCTACAGTCCCAGGAGATTCTATAGTGCCTGGAGATGCCACGGTCCCTCATGGCCCTATAGTTCCAGGTGACCCCCATAGATCCAGGAGGTCACACAGTTCCAGGTGGCTCTCTAAACCCAGGAGATCCTACAGTCTCGGGTAACCCCACAGTCCAAAGAGATCCCACAGTCCCTGGTGACCCTATAGTTTCAGGTGATCCTACAGTCCCAGGAGACTCTAGTGCCTGGAGATGCCACGGTCCCTCATGGCCCTATAGTCCCAGGAGATCCCACAGTCCCAGGTGACCCTCCATAGATCCAGGAGACCCCACAGTCCCAGGTGACCCCCCATAGATCCAAGAGGTCACACAGTTCCAGGTAGCCCTCTAGACCCAGGAGATCCCACAGTCCCGGGTGACTCTACAGTCCAAGGAGATCCCACAGTCCCTGGTGACCCCCATAGATCCAGGAAGTCACACAATTCCAGGTGGCCTTCTAAACCCAGGAGATCCCACAGTCCCGGGTGACCGTACAGTCCCAGGAGATTCTGTAGTATCTCCTGGGACTCATAGTGTCTCAATCTTCGGTTGATCGATGATGGCCCGTGATTTTCACCTCCATGGGGGAAGTTCTCCGATGGCTGCTTTGTGTCTCTTGTTTGCTCTCTCCTGACAGAAACTCAACACTGTCCCTGGCCGTACTTATTTAGGACTTTGGTGTGTCTGCACGTTGTTGATTATATGAGTGCCAAAATCTTGTGCCTATGCTCCAATCTTGGATTTTATTTGATAACCCCCCCCCCCCCCCTCAACTCAGGACTGATATTTGTGTCTAACTGCATGAGATGGCTGTTTACTGTCAGTCATGACAGCTGTCAGTGGATCCCGTTACTGTAATCGGAGATGCGGCTGAACCGGCAGACGGATAATAGAATAAAACCACAAAAGGAGACGGCGACCAATCCATATAATGACCAATCGGGTCCACACGCCTTAAAGTGTATCTGAACCCAAGATCGAAATTGTAATTAGTTAAAGCTTAAAATGATTGTATATACAGGCGTACCTCGGTTTACGAATTCAGTGCATTCTGCGGGACTTTTTGTATTGCGAAAAATTCGTAAACTGAAACGCGGTTTCCCATAGGAATGCATTGAAAACCACTTAATCCGTTCTGAAGGTCAGAAAAAAGTAAAAAAAAAAAAAAAAAAAAAAGTCGATGTCACTATAGGTCAGTGCCGGTTTTTAAATGTACTTACCAACTTCTTTTTGTTTTTTTTTTTTTTTTCTTCACTATAGCTCAGAGCAGCCTTTCTCAAGTGCCTTGAGGTTCCTTCAGGGCTGCCTTGAGGTTCCTTCAGGGGTGCCTTGAGGTTCCTTCAGGGGTGCCTTGAGGTTCCTTCAGGGGTGCCTTGAGGTTCCTTGCAGGGGCGCCTGGAGGTTCCTTGCAGGGGCGCCTTGAGGTTCCTTGCAGGGGCGCCTTGAGGTTCCTTGCAGGGGCGTTCCTTGAGGTTCCTTGCAGGGGCGCCTTGAGGTTCCTTGCAGGGGCGCCTTGAGGTTCCTTGCAGGGGCGCCTTGAGGATCCTTGCAGGGGCGCCTTGAGGATCCTTGCAGGGGCGCCTTGAGGTTCCTTAAGGAGCGCCTTGAGGTTGCTTCAGGAGTGCCTTGAGGTTTTATCTGTTTAAAATGTACGGCTCCAATCGCACCGCACACAAATTGCATGTGATTTGCACAGGAATGCGGTGCGGTTCCTGTGCGAATCACATACGATATGCTGCACCGCATATATGTGAACCCGGGCTTGGAGACTACGACAGGACAAGGGTGAAAAGTTGCGTTTGCGGACTGACCTGATGAAGCGGATGTGTTAAAGGGGACCTGCCGGCGTAGCTGAGCCTCTGGTGTTTGTTTTGAGACTCGGAAGTGTGGTTGTGTGGACGGCGGCCAGGTTCTTCCTCTTATCTGGTTATTGATCGAAGGTTGTACATTGTGGTGTGCGCAGCGAAGGTCGTTCATTGTGTACATTGTGAAATCTCTGCAGTCTAATCTGAACGGCTCACACTTAAGTGGCACTCCGAGTTCTGTTGGTGTCGCCGGCCAGACGTGAGCTCACTCCACCTGTTACTACAGAATAGATGTCCTGTGTAAATAAAGTGAGAGAGGATTGCACCCGGATTGTTTTTTTTTTTTTTTGTTTTGTTTTTTTATAAAGGGATCATTCACAGCGGTGTGTGCTGGTTAAAGTGAAACCTAAGGGCTCATGTACACTGCAGCTGACAAACTCACGTTCAGGAGCTGTTCAGCCATTTTTTTTTTTGGTTTTTTTTTTTCAGCAGCCCCTGAACTCTCCCTAATTTTTTCCTATGTGTCCATGTACACATCTTCGTTTACAGTCATATGAGTTTACAGTCGTTGAATGTAGAAAACTTGCGTTCAGCAGTCGATTTTATCAGCGTTTCAAATGCTTTTAAACGCAGCAAATCGCGTTTATAAGCGTTTGCATCTGAAAATTTTTTTTAACTCTTCCAGTTCCCAATGCTGTCCAGAGCCTTTTTTCATCATGAAAAATGCATGCAAAGCATTTTCAAGGCACTCCCCTGGACAAAACACTGAACACAGGATGTTCCTACCAAGCTTGTCACACATTGTAATGACCAATTCACACCTCAGACCTCTCCCACCCTTGAAAACAAAAGATATGTTAATGAACATTCACACCTCAAAGTCCTCATGAAGACCCCCTGCCAGGTGACCTTAATGACTCCCTCCACCAGACACCTTTCCCACCCTTGGAAACAATAGAAATGTTAATGAGCAACTCACACCTAAGCTAATCTCAACACATACTGCTGTCTCTGCTTCTACTCTCTGTATTTCTCTGAAACAGTCTGAAATAGTTAATAATTTACCACTTTTCAGTGCATTCTGGGCATTTGGGAGGATCTCCTACGTTTTCCAGCAGTCAGTTTCCATCGTTCAGAAGTGTCCCGTGTACATGGGGCCTAAAGGTAAAAATACTTAAACCAAAGAATCCCCTTCGCTCCAGAGTGGTGTGCTGGGGATGGATAAATGTCAGGTCTTTGGCACTTCCATTGCTGGCACAGGCTTTGCTGCCCTCTACGGGTCTGGGGAGCCCAGGAGAAAACTAAGGGAAGAAGGGTGCACCGGCCTAGTCAATTACCTGAGACAAAAAACCCTTAATAGTACAGGGACAGATATAAACTCACAAACAACTGTGATAACAATAGCTTGTCAAAGTCCAAAGCCACCTAGTCACCGAATCAACTGCCAACCCTCGAGAGGACCTTCCAGATGACTGACGTGTTTTGAGGGGCGCTCCCCTCTTCCTCCAAGCCGGTCCTAGATGCTACACAAGCGGTCTCAATATAACAAATAATTTGGGTCACATGGTTTTGTACAAGCTCCTCCCCCCTCAAGGGTGGGGGTAGTGACCTCACTCCTATACATCTGGCCATGATGCGTATCAAATTGTGTCTACTCTAAACATGGAGTGTGTTTGGTCCATAAAAATGTTTAAAACCGAAAATTGTATCAATTCATACGTAACTCTACATACAATTACATTCATAAAAATGTGTGCAATCTTACCGAACAGAAATATATACACTTGGTGCTTCCACGGCCTATTTTGATTGCGTCATATAGTGCTTCTCTATGAATACCGACAATCCCAATGTTAATGGGGGGAGCATGAGTTCTGCAGCAAAGAAAAAATTGCTGGATTGCCCAGTGACTGGCTGTGTGGGGGGAGGGGAGGCATGTTGGCACAAGTCTGATCATTGGAGAGCAGGCTGAGTTCCCAGCACAGCTAGAGAACTGACCACTCTGTGCTCTCATGCCTAGTGTGGTCAGTTTTTAATAGGAAAGCAGAGGGACTGGCAGGAACACCAGAGATTTCACACAAAGGAAGCAATACAAAGAAAACAGGAGACTTCGTAATACAAGTACATGGTACAGCAGACACATATCAGGAATATGAAATGTTAGGTTTATATATTCTTTAAATAACAACTACAGGTCTTGTACCTCCCCCAAATGTAAGCAGAAGCAGCAGACTGATGAGCTTCACTCTGCCCTCTCTCCTCCTATCAGCATGTTCCTTGTTAGACTATGAACACTGCAGCACAATTGATTAGGCCCTTGTGCTGCTTCTCCCTCCTCCAGTCTGAGCTTTGCTGTACAGGTGTCTGGGGGAGCTGATACCAGATCAAATTCAGGTACACTCACTGCTTGTATAAATAAAATCATTTAATGTATTGATGAATCAAGAAGTGAATTAATTGGTGTCATCCAGGTGTCTTGAGTTTCTGGTATTCATTGTATTCTCCCTGTTTTCAGTGACTTCCTCATCCTCCCCGGGTACATCGACTTCACAGCTGATCAAGTGGTGAGTGTTGCTGGTTTTCATGAAATATTGATCGGTTTAATTCTGTGTTATTGGCCATAAGAGGCTGCCTGTGGAGCACTTTTAAGATGATTAAATCCTTGTTAAGCAATAAAGAAATCCAGCCGCATTCCTTATAGACCTCTTCCTAGCTGTCCGCTTTCTGAACAGGTTTTCTGTCTCTAGGGTGGCTACACTGCCTTGCACGGGTCCTATGGATCAATCTTGTAGCCACCCGTACATGCATGCTCCCAGCTGCGTCTTGTCGTGCCAATGTGCTTCTCAAGCATCCCCTCCCCATCCCCTCCCCTTTGCTTCTCTTAGGCCTCTTGAACATGGGCGTTCCATATGTCCGTTTTTCATCTGTCTGTTTACGGATGAAAAACGGACCCCTATTTATTTCTATGGACTTGCAGGTGTAAACGGATGAACACCTTTTTACATCCGTTAATGTCCGCATCCATTAACATCTGTATTTTTGAACGGAAGAAAACCCTATTTTTCTTCTGCAAAAAAACCCGGAATGGACGAAAAACGGATGTAAACAGATTGTATGCCGCCTGGCAGGTCAGTAAAGGGGGGGGGGGGGAATGAGAGAGCACCCCCCTTCCAAATAATACCAGGCCACATGCCCCCAACATGGGGGGGCGAGTTTTTAGTCATCAGCTGTCAGCAGGGTTCCCCACTGACAGTTGAATGTCAAAAAAAAAAAAAAAAATTGCCAGCAGTTAAAAAATAATTTAAAAAGTGGCATGGGGTTCCCCCCCTCCATCCATACCAAGCCCTTCGGATCTGGTTTGGATTTTGAGGGGAACTCAGTGGGGAACCCCGGTGACAGTTGAATGTCAAAAAAAAAAAAATTGCCAGCAATTAAAAAATAATTTTAAAAAACGGCGTGATTGACGTTGGATCTACTGTGGGGGACATTCTCTTATTTTCCTTCTATTAATAAAGGACTTGTCAATGAATGTCTCCTTTCTTTTTTCACACTACACATTTTTTTGTGAATGGATAGTGGTACCATGTACCCCATACTCATTCACATGGGGGGGGGCTTCCAGATTTTGATAAGCCCCCTGCTCGCAGACCCCCATAACCACAGCCCAGGGTTGTGGGGAAGATGCCCTTATCCCCATCAACATGGGGACAAGGTTCTTTGTAGGGCACCGAACCCCAAAGCACCCCCCATGTTGAGGGCATGTGGCCTGGTATGGTTCAGGAGGGGGCGCCCCTCCCCCTTTCTTGATCTGCTGGGCTACATGCTCGGATAAGGGTCTGGTATGGATTTTAAAAAATTGTGTGTGGTCCCCCACCCAAGATCCATACCAGACCCTTATCCGAGCATGTAGCCCAGCAGATCAAGAAAGGGGGAGGGGCGCCCCCTCCTGAACCATACCAGGCCACATGCCCTCAACATGGGGGGTGCTTTGGGGTTCGGTGCCCTACAAAGAACCTTGTCCCCATGTTGATGGGGATAAGGGCATCTTCCCCACAACCCTGGGCTGTGGTTATGGGGGTCTGCGAGCAGGGGGCTTATCAGAATCTGGAAGCCCCCCCCCCATGTGAATGAGTATGGGGTACATGGTACCACTATCCATTCACAAAAAAATGTGTAGTGTGAAAAAAGAAAGGAGACATTCATTGACAAGTCCTTTATTAATAGAAGGAAAATAAGAGAATGTCCCCCACAGTAGATCCAACGTCAATCACGATGCCCGCCACTGCCGCCACCCGCAAAAAAGAAAAAAAAAAAAGCAAACGCTCCGCACCCGACGCTAGCTCCCACCATGTGACTGCTCCGATAGCTTGACATTCATATGGGGGGGGGGGGGATCACAGGGCCCCCTTTCTAAAGAGGGCTTCCAGATTCCGATAAGCCTCCTGCCCGCAGACCCCCACAACCACCGGCCAGGGTTGTGGGGAAGAGGCCCTTGTCCCCAAAGCGCCTCCACCCCCCCATGTTTTAGGGCATGTGGCCTGGTATGGTTCAGGTACTCGTTCACCACCACCCCCCACCTGGGACACCTTACTGGAATAAGCCACACTTCTCATTGGTCAGCATGATCACATGGCTGCATTGCCCAGTACGCGCATTAGGATGGATACTCACTCTTGGGCAGTGTATTATGGTGTATGGACTAGTGTACGAACAGCAGGGGGCATCACAACTGCTGTGCGCTACGGCGTCCACAGAGCTGGCCAAGATATTTGGAGTTGGTTCACCTCTTTATTTTTCATGAAAAAAAATAAACTTTCCCTTTAATGTTGGGAAAGGTCAGTCCCCAGTTATATATGACCTTCCATCATTTTATTGCTGGACAGAGGAAATGGCCTTGTGGTTGGTGATGGTCCTTTTTATTGAACCGTTTCTTTCGTCTTTTAGTGTTAAGACTTATTGGTATCAGAAGTGACGTTGGAAGTCCAGTATTTAACCCGATCCCTCCATTGTCCCTACAGGACCTCACCTCCGCTCTCACCAAGACGATCACATTGAAGACTCCTCTCGTCTCCTCCCCCATGGACACCGTAACAGAAGCCAACATGGCCATTGCCATGGCGGTAAGAAGACTGAAGGCCGCTTTATTCCTAGTTCAGGGTTTCATCACCCTGTCTGGTTCAAGTTAATAACATTCCCTATCTTTGTATTTTAGCTGACTGGTGGGATTGGCATTGTACATCACAACTGTACGCCGGAATTCCAGGCCAACGAAGTGCGAAAAGTAAAGGTGAGGGTTGTCCCAACTTGTGTGGGCTCTAGACACGGCCGAAGGCCTTACTGTTACTCTACACTACCTAGGGTTGTCACCCTTCCGTTCTGAACTGGATACTTCCGGATTTTAGGTTTCTTTCATTGCTCTGCAGAGTCCAGTTTGGTCACCCCGCATAGCAAAGCGGACCCCCTCCCCCGCCGCTACGACCAGTCACCATCATTCTGACAGGCAGGTCCCATTTTGTATTTCAATAGTGCCTGGGAGGGATGCACATAGGCTTCATTCTTAAATACATTGTTACAATATTATAATTATGATATCTTTACTTTAGTGCATATATACAAACCAAAGACTTGTCCCTTGATCTGCAAAAAAAAAGTTCCTATATTCCCCCTTTATAGAAGTAGATCGGAAGCCAAAAGTAGTTTCTCAGTTTAGATGGGGGTGGGAAATTATTTTAACCTATGCTCAACCTTAGAGAGACCAGAACCTTTCATGTCCCAAGTTGGTGTCTGTGTACTAGTGACCCCCAGGGGAGAATAGCCCCCCAAATCATTGGCGTCAGTAGGACAGTGGCCCCCAGGGAAGAATAGCCCCCTAAATCACTGGTTTCAGTGGGATATGACCCCCAGGGTAGAATAGCCCCCAAATCATTTGGTGCCAATGGGATATGACCCCCAGGGTAAAATAGCCCCCAAATCATTGGTGTCAGTGGGATATGACCCCCAGGGTAGAATAGCCCCCAAATCATTGGCGTCAGTGGGATATGACCCCCAGGGTAGAATAGCCCCCAAATCATTGGCGTCAGTGGGATATGACCCCCAGGGTAGAATAGCCCCCAAATCATTGGCGTCAGTGGGATATGACCCCCAGGGTAGAATAGTCCCCAAATCATTGGCGTCAGTGGGATATGACCCCCAGGGTAGAATAGTCCCCAAATCATTGGCGTCAGTGGGATATGACCCCCAGGGTAGAATAGCCCCCAAATCATTGGCGTCAGTGGGATATGACCCCTAGGGTAGAATAGCCCCCAAATCATTGGTGTCAGTGGGATATGAACCCCAGGGTAAAATAGCCCCCAAATCATTGGGGTCAGGGGGATATAACCTCCCCCCCACCCAAATCATTGGTGTCCATGAGATAATGACCACCAGGTGTGAAGAGCTAACCAAATCATTGCCAGTGGGAAAGTAGACATCAGAGGAGAATAGCTCCCAAAATGATTGGTGTCAGTTGGATAGTGGCCCCAAGGAGAGATTGGCCCTTCAAAATCATTGGTGTCAGTTGGATAAAAGCCTCCAGGGGAGAATAGCCCCTCATTTCTTTTGGTGTCAGTGGTGGTACCTTGAAGTGGTTGTAAAGGCTCAAGATTTTTTTACCTTTTTATGTATTCTATGCATGAAGGTAAAAAAACCTTCTGTGTGCAGCCCCCCCAATACTTACCTGAGCCCCATCACAATCCAGCAATGTGCACGAGAGCCGGGACTCCCCTCACCTTATTGGCTGAGACAGCCAATCACAGCCAGCAAGCCAATGAGGAGGAGGCAGGGCCGAGCTGCGGCTCTGTATGTGAATGGACCTTTTACTATTAATCCACACCTAAGTTAAGTTTCATGGTTCAGTTATAACCACTCCCCCCCCCCCCCCCCCCCCCCCTTTACTCAACAGAAATATGAACAAGGATTCATCACAGATCCGGTTGTCCTGAGCCCCACACACAAAGTACGAGACGTATTTGAAGCCAAAGCTCGTCACGGATTCTGTGGCATCCCCATCACAGAGAGCGGAAAGATGGGAGGGAAGCTGGTGGGGATCATTTCATCCAGAGATATAGATTTTCTGAAATCTGCCGAGAATGACCTGCTTCTCAGCGAGGTGAGTGTTCCTTGGATAACCGTTTGTGGAACATGGCGTCCCCTGACAGAGGCTTCCACCGCAATGCACTTGTCTTTGTATCTTTTAACCCCTTGCCCTCCTGAGGATTTACCCCCCTTCCTGGCCAGGCTGTTTTTTGCGTTCTGGCACTCCTTTACTTTAGCTGACAATTGTGCGGTCAACAGCGCTGCGCCCAGATGAAATTTACGTCCTTTTTTTTTTCCCCCCACAAATAGAGCATTCTTTCTGTGTTATTTGATCGCCTGTGCGCAATACAAAAAAAAAAAAAAAAAAACGACCGACTAATTTGAGAAAAAAACAATATTTTTTACTTTTTTGCTATTAAACATGTCCAGTAAAAAAAATTTAAAAAATCAAATTTCGTCATTTAGGCGAAAATGGATTTGCTCCATGTCTTTGCTGAAAAAAATCCCAATACGTGTAAATTGGTTTACATGAAAGTTATAGTGTTTACAAATGGCAGTATAGATACTGGGATTTTTTATTTTTTTTTTACTAGTAATGGCGGTGATCAGCGACTTATAGCGGGACTGCGGTGGGCTTTCTGACACTGGGGGGAAGTGACTTGGTGTCACTGACATCCCCAGTGACACCAATACAGTGATCGATGCTAATAAAAAGCACTGACACTGTACTAATGGCACTGGGCAGGAAGGGGTTAACATCTGGGGTAATCAAAGGGTTAACTGTGTGCTGTTTTGTATACTGAGCTGTGTGTGTGCTTCACTGTAAGTACACTGCTTTGGATGGTTGTGCTGTGCACAGCCATCCAAAGCAGTGTGCATGAACTGACAGGGAGGAGAACTGTTTTGTTTACACACAGTTATTCCCCCCCCAATCGGCAATGCTCGGCAATCACCGGGTGCTGTCGAGTAATTAATATATATATCAGATGAGAAGTGGTTAATACAAATTTTTTTTTTGTTTTCTTTTCCTGCAACATTCAGGTCATGACCAGGAGGGAAGATCTGGTTGTCGCCCCAGCGGGTGTTACGTTAAAAGAAGCCAATGAAATTCTGCAGAGAAGTAAAAAAGGTATTCACTTTGAGTATTTTCTGAATTAATGCATGGGGTTTGTGTCCAATCACAGATCTGATGTGGAGGGGGGACTGAGGATACTGATGTGAAGGGGTGGGGTATCATGTGAAGGGGGGACTGAGGATACTGATGTGAAGGGATGGGGTGGGGTATCATGTGAAGGGGGGACTGAGGATACTGATGTGAAGGGATGGGGTGGGGGGGTGTTGTGAAGGGGGGACTGAGGACACTGATGAACAGGGATGGGGGGGGTATGGTGTGAAGTGGGGAATGAGGATACTGATGTAATCGGATGGGGGTGGTGATGTGAAGGGGGGACTGAGGACATTGATGTAAAGGGATGGGGGGGGGGGGGGGGTGTGATGTGAAGGGGGGGACTGAGGATACTGATGTAATCAGATGGGGGGGAGATAAGGGGGGGTGATGTGAAGGGGGGACTCAGGACACTGATGTTGTTGGATGGGGGAGGGGGTGATGTGAAAGGGGGACTGAGGACACTGATGTACAGGGATTGGGGAGGGGGGGTGATGTAAAGGGGGGACTGAGGACACTGATGTAAAAGGGATAGGGGGGTGTTATGTGAAGGGGGGACTGAGGACACTGATGTACAGGGATTGGGGGGGGGGTGATTTAAAGGGGGGACTGAGGATACTGTTGTACAGGGATGGGGGGGGTGGTGTGATGTAAAGGGGGGGAATGGAGACACTGATGTAAAGGGATGGGGGGGGTGATGTGATGTGAAGGGGGGACTGAGGATACTGATGTAAAAGGATGGGGAGGGAGATACTGATGTGAAGGGATGGGGGGGGGGTGTGATGTGAAGGGGGGACTGAGGACACTGATGTACAGGGATGGGGGGGGGGGGGGTGATTTAAAGGGGGGGACTGAGGACACTGATATACAGGGATGGGGTAGTGGTGTGATGTAAAGGGGGGAATGGAGACACTGATGTAAAGGGATGGGGGGGGGATGTAAAGGGGGAAATGGAGACACCGATGTAAAGGGATGGGGGGGGGGGGTGATGTGAAGGGGGGACTGAGGATACTGATGTAAAGGGATGGGGGGGGGGTGATGAGCAGGGAGGTCTGAGGATACTGATGTAAAGGGATGGGGGGGGGGATACTGATGTGAAGGGATGGGGGGGGGGGATACTGATGTGAAGGGGATATTGTGATGTAAAAGGGATGGGGAGCTGAGGTGTGATGAGGGAACAGAAATCCCTGTGATGTACAGGGAAGGGGAGGATGCTGTGATGTGAAGGGGAACTGTGGACCGTGTTATGTAAGGGGGGGGCTGTGGCATGCAGAGAGGACTGAGCATGCTGATGTAAAGGAGGGACTGAGATGTGCAGGGGGTGCTGAGGACATTTGATGTAAGGGGTGGGGTGGGGGGGCTGTGATTTGAAGGAATGGATTCATAGCAAAAACCTGAAATTGTAGACCTCTGCTGGAAGAAGATTTCTAGACTGTACCTCTGTGAGTCTTCAATCCACCCCCCTCCTATAGAGAGTTCTAGTCTGATTTGCCTGTATGTCGGAGTTCAGAAAAAGGCACCTCTGAGGACCTGTGCTGTAGAAGCCGTGCCCAGAATAGACAATCAATGGACAAAGGCCTAGTCTCCTATAGTGATCCCCCTACAACTGACCTTTCCCCCATTACTGACGTTCCATGTCTTGCGCACTGTGTATGTATGGGGCAGCAGCCACCTTGACAGTCAGGCCTTTTGCTTCCTCACGTAAAAGCTGCCTTTAAAGATTAGCAATCTGATGACAGGGTGGGGTAAGTAGAAGTGCAGAGGTGGAGGGGGAACACAGATTCACAAAAGATGAAGCAGGGAGTTCCTTGCACTGCAGGTCCTCGGATACATCTTCCTCTCCAGCAAGGAGGACAGTGAGCAGCACAGCAGTGGTATCACCAAAACTCCTGAGACCAGCTGTCAGGGGCAGCCGTGGATGAGATGATCTCACACTGCAGATATAGGAGGATTCAGAACAGGAGTGCCTTGGCGTAGAAAGTGCACAGCTAGTTTTCAGGAGGAATTGAACAAAAGGTAGATTTTTTTTTTTTTTTTGGGTACTGCTTCGGCACATTTAACATTCTTAGATGGGCAATCTTCACTTTTTGAATTCTTGTCCACTGTAGGCAGATTGGTCCCTGCTGTATGCGCGCGCCCGTGTGTGTGCGTGCGCGCCCGCGTGCACTTTAATACTGGATCATCTGCAATCTTTTTGTAAACTATCTACCCCCAAGACTGGTCTTTTATTTTTCATTCCAGGCAAATTACCGATTGTTAATCAGGACGATGAGTTGGTGGCCATCATCGCCCGCACTGATCTGAAGAAAAATAGGGACTATCCGCTGGCGTCAAAGGATTCCAAGAAACAGCTGCTGTGTGGCGCCGCCATTGGTACACACGAGGATGACAAATACCGTCTGGATCTCCTGGTGCAGGCTGGAGTGGATGCCGTGGTGCTGGTCAGTGACTGTAGAGCTTTGTGTAGAATGCGTGTTCAGTATTGCCACCAATGCAGCCAAATTCTAAAGCACAAAAAATTGCAGTTATCACATCTAAGGATATTTTAAAGAGTTACTAAACCCCCAACAGTACAATCAGTCTGTAGATGTAGGAAAGCATGCTTGTTATACTCACTGTGGGACCTAAGGGGTTAATCCTCTGCATTGTGTAATAACGCTGTTTGATCCTGTCTTGTCTGATCTTCCCCTTCTTCCAGTGTCCCCCTCTTATCTCCTGATAGAACAGAGGTTTAGAGTCACTTTGCACATTCTCAGTTTGGTGTGTATTGCTAGAGAGGTTTTTTTTTTCTTTTTTTCTTGGGAGAGTGCATGTGATCAGCGCAGGGCCAATCAGCAGAGGGTCAGAGGTTTTGCATCCTCAAGGAGAAGAATGAAAACTCCTCCTACAGGCTTTAACCAGTGCTCTGCTGGACACTGATATATTTCACAAGACTGCTATAGACTACTGATTTAGTGAATCCGGGGTCCGGGGAGAGCGGATACAGTGAATCCCGGGGTCCGGGGAGAGCGGATACAGTGAATCCCGGGGTCCGGGGAGAGCGGATACAGTGAATCCCGGGGTCCGGGGAGAGCGGATACAGTGAATCCCGGGGTCCGGGGAGAGCGGATACAGTGAATCCCGGGGTCCGGGGAGAGCGGATACAGTGAATCCCGGGGTCCGGGGAGAGCGGATACAGTGAATCCCAGGGTCCGGGGAGAGCGGATACAGTGAATCCCGGGTCCGGGGAGAGCGGATACAGTGAATGCGGGGTCCGGGGAGAGCGGATACAGTGAATGCGGGGTCCGGGGAGAGCGGATACAGTGAATGCGGGGTCCGGGGAGAGCGGATACAGTGAATGCGGTTTCCGGGGAGAGCGGTTACAGTGAATGCGGTTTCCGGGGAGAGCGGTTACAGTGAATGCGGTTTCCGGGGAGAGCGGTTACAGTGAATGCGGTTTCGGGGAGAGCGGTTACAGTGAATGCGGTTTCCGGGGAGAGCGGATACAGTGAATGCAGGGTCCGGGGAGAGCGGATATAGTGAATGCGGGGTCCGGGGAGACCGGATATAGTGAATGCGGGGTCCGGGGAGAGCGGATATAGTGAATGCGGGGTCCGGGGAGAGCGGATATAGTGAATGCGGGGTCCGTGGAGAGCGGATATAGTGAATGCGGGGTCCGGGGAGAGCGGATATAGTGAATGCGGGGTCCGGGGAGAGCGGATATAGTGAATGCGGGGTCCGGGGAGAGCGGATATAGTGAATGCGGGGTCCGGAGAGACCGGATATAGTGAATGCGGGGTCCGGGGAGACCGGATATAGTGAATGCGGGGTCCGGGGAGACCGGATATAGTGAATGCGGGGTCCGGGGAGACCGGATATAGTGAATGCGGGGTCCGGGGAGAGCGGATACAGTGAATGCGGGGTCCGGGGAGAGCGGATACAGTGAATGCGGGGTCCGGGGGAGAGCGGATACAGTGAATGCGGGGTCCGGGGAGAGCGGATACAGTGAATGCGGGGTCCGGGGAGAGCGGATACAGTGAATGCGGGGTCCGGGGAGAGCGGATACAGTGAATGCGGGGTCCGGGGAGAGCGGATACAGTGAATGCGGGGTCCGGGGAGAGCGGATACAGTGAATGCGGGGTCCGGGGGAGAGCGGATACAGTGAATGCGGGGTCCGGGGAGAGTGGATACAGTGAATGCGGGGTCTGGGGAGAGCGGATATAGTGAATACGGGGTCCGGTAACACCTTAAGCTGCGATATATTTGCTTTTCGGTTTAATATCACTTTAAACGCATACATTTATTAATCTTTTTGTATTACTTTATAGATGAATCTATTTTTTTTCTCTTCTAAATACAGGACTCATCGCAGGGAAATTCCATCTTCCAGATAAATATGATCAAATACATTAAAGAGAAATACGAAGAAGTCCAAGTTATTGCTGGAAATGGTAAATATCTTTCTTCTGTTCTGCACATAGACAGTCTGCACTACTGAAGTTCCGGAAATCTTTTAACATGACAACTACAGGTCCTGCTTCTTCCTATTCTATAATCACAAGACTGTAGAAAGAGGATATATCAGGCAAACCGAGCCGAATCCGCATCATTTTAGGTAGAAGTTTTCACTTTTTTTAACCACTTATAGGCAGAATCACGTGTATATGTGTGTGTGTGTGTATATATATATATATATATATATATACATATATATGTGTGTGTAATTCTGCATTTCCAGGTAGGTGGCGCACGCCCTACCCATGCCGCCATTTGCAGGTGCAGATGTCAATCACCGAGTCCTGGCCAGTAATTACCTGCAGGCGCCCGGTGATTACCGAGCATCTCCGACGGGGAGGAAGATTGTTTTGTTTGCAAACAGTCTTCCTCCCTGTCAGCTTGAGCACACTGCTCTGTGCACAGTACAGCCATCCTGATCAGCGTGCTTAGAGTGAAGAACACCCCCCGCCTCAGTAAAACACTCCCAGCACACAGTTAACCCTTTGATCACTCCTCACATTAACGTCTTCCTGCCCAGTGCCATTAGTACAGTGGCGGTGCTTTTTTTTTTTTTTTTTTTTTAACCACTGATCACTGTATTGGTGTCAGTGACACCAAGTTAGTTCCCCCCCCCCCCCCCCCCCCCCCAATGTCAGAATACCCACCGCAGTCCTAAGTCGCTGATTGCCGCCATTACTAGTAGGCAAAAAAGAAAAATCCTATTATCTATACCGCCATTTGTATAGCGATCACTTTCACATAAAACCAATTAATTTACACGTGTTGAAATTTTTTTTTTTAAGCAAAGACACGGAGCAGAATACATTTTGGCCTAAATTTATGACGAATTTAGATTTTTTTTATTTTTATTTTTTTCTTGTTTACTGGATATTTTTTATAGCAAAAAGTTCAAAATATTTTTATCTCAAAATTGTCGATCTTTTTTTGTTTATAGCGCAAAAAATAAAAACCGCACAGATGATCAAATACCACCGAAAGAAAGCTCAATTTAGTGGGGGGGAAAAAAAAAGAAGTAAATTTAATTTGGGTGCAGTGTTGCATGACCGCGCAATTGTCAGTTAAAGTAACACAGCGCCGTAACAAAAAATGGCCTGGTCAGGAAGGTGGGGGGGGAAGCCTCTGGAGGGCAAGTGTACAGATTAAATGTCTCTCTTCTGTTCTGTCACTTCCAGCTGCTGTAGATCAGCAGTTTATCGTGGAAGTCAGGTTGGCGGTTTACTGGCAAGCTTGCATAGGTGGGGGTCTAATTTTGGAAGGCTTAGATCTGATGTTTCTGTCCAGGGCCATGCACAGTGAGGCAGGATTCTGCTCTGGCCTTTCCCAGCAGGCGAGGAGGTGTCATGTTGCCTATAAATTACTGGCTGACACCTCCAGCAACGTGACCCGGAGAATGTGCTGCTGGGTGGCCTTGATGGTCGGTGACAAGTGTAGGACCTGGCAGCGGAGGAAGGTGGGGGTGACGGAGAACTATCTTTATCTCCTGACACTATAATGCTTCCCATTTTAAGTCACACGTGGAGGAAAGTAAACACCGCACTATACAATGTAGAGCAAAGGGGACCGCTGCATAGACTGACCAATCAGATTAGAGTACTTCTAGTGATTGCCAGTGACTACAATCGCTATACATCTTTTTCCTGGAAGCTTTTAGCAGTTTCCTTGGCCTTTACTGAAATTATTTTTTTTTTTTTATTGGTAAAAATGGGAAAAAGATAGCTAACCAAACCTATTTCTAAATGAAAGGTTATCCCTTTTGGTCCGTTTTCCTGACACCAAAAGAAAAATGGTGACGGGAGGGATTTGCAGCAGATTGACAACCTTAGCTCTGTTGCAGTGTGCTGTGTGGAAGGGGGTGTGTCTCTTCCCTCCAATCGGCTCTCAGAGCTCTAATTAAAGCGCTGCAGTGTTATTTCAGCTCTCCGCCCCCTTTTTTTCTGAACTCTTAGACAAGCGATATAAATTCTGGATTATTTCAGCTCTCCGCCCCCTTTTTTCTGAACTCTTAGACAAGCGATATAAATTTTGGATTATTTCAGCTCTCTGCCCCTTTTTTTTTCTGAATTCTTAGACAAGCGATATAAATTCTGGATTATTTCAGCTCCAATTCCGCCCCCTTTTTTCTGAACTCTTAGACAAGCGATATAAATTTTGGATTATTTCAACTCTCTGACAAGCGATATAAATTTTGGATTATTTCCCCTTTTTTCTGAATTCTTAGACAAGTGATATAAATTCTGGGTTATTTCAGCTCTATGTCCTCTTTTTTCTGAACTCTTAGACAAGCGGTATAAATTCTGGGTTTTGCTCGGTTGTAGAGAAGAGAATATTGCAGATAAATAGGTACAATTTATGTAGGAGGATTTGTTTAATCTGTGTGTTGCCTGAGGCCAGTCCCTTCACTGGGTATATCCACGTTAAGGAGGAGGCAGTGGGGGATCTTATACGTTCCCAGCGGCTGCAGACAGCGGTAATGTGTGTACACTCCACAAGCAGACTGATGGCTTTCTAATGAAAGCTGTACTGCCACTCTGGTTCACTTTCTGTGTCCCCTGAAGTCACAGACCCCATATATCTCATTAAAGAGAACCTGTCTTCAAAGCAGAGCTTCACTTTGAAGTGGAAGTTCCACTCATCCTCCCTCCCCCTCCATTGACCGACATCCGCTCCCACTTTCACTGTTCTAGCCTTGGCAAGAATAGCGAACATTCCGCCACCGAATTGCGTTTTCTGCCCTAAAATTATTGTCCATGATTGTTTTTTTTTTCACTGAAAGTTTGTGCTTGGCTTTCACCAGGGGCGTCCCGAGGTAGGTGCGGGGGGGGAGCGGTCTGCACCGGGTGACACCGACCACACGGGCTGACACCGGACCCACTCCACAAAAAGGTAAGTTGTAAAGCAAGCCGACGATCCCCGCAGGATGGATCCGATCCATCCTGCGGGGATCGTCGGCTTGCTTTACAACTTACCTTTTTGTGGAGCGGGTCCGGTGTCACCCTGTATAGGTTTGCATGCCGACAATCCCTGCAGGATGGATGGGATCTGCGGATTGGGGAGCATAATGGATCAGACTCCGATCCATTATGCTCAATCCGCAGATCAGAACCATTCTCCGTGGATCGTTGGAGGGGGTGTCACCAAGTGTTACCGCACCGGGTGACACCAACCCTAGGGATGCTCCTGGTTTTGACTAATCTTCAGGTCTAAAATGTGTTTTTTTTTGTTTTATTCTAAAGTGTGCAAAAACTGCAGAAAATGAGTGTGGTAGTGCAAAGGGTTAACAAAATAATTTTAGGCCTGGCGTTTACTGTATATGCACACGACTCTCTCTCTCTCTCTCTCTCTCTCTCTCTCTATATCTCTATCTCTCTCTCTCTCTCTCTCTCTCTCTCTATATCTCTCTCTCTATCTCTATCTCTCTCTCTAATCTCCATATATATATATATATATATAATTTTTTTTTTTTTTTTTTTTTTTATTGGATATGGCCAAAATTGTAGTATTTCAAATATATTTATTTCAGGTACTTATATATCGCCGTCAATGTACTCCGCGCTTTACATATATATTGTACATTCACATCAGTCCTAATCAGTACAATCTAAGGTCCCTAACCCTCAAGGGGTACAATTTAAGGTACAATCTAAGGTCCCTAACTCTCCGAAGGTCCCTCAAGGGGCGTACAATCTAAGGTCCCTAACCCTCAAGGGGTCCCTAACCCTCAAGGGGTATCAATCTCAAGGGGGTACAATCTAAGGTCCCTAACCCTCAAGGGGAGTACAATCTAAGGTCCCTAACTCACATAAGGTCATACATACACATAACTAGGGACATACAATTTAGACAGGAGCCAATTAACCTACCAGCATGTCTTTGGAGGGTGGGAGGAAACTGGAGTACCCGGAGGAAACCCACGCAGGCACAGGGAGAACATGCAAACTCCAGGCAGGTGGTGCCGTGGAGGGTTTAGGGTTTGAACCAACAACCCCTAGTACTGCCAGGCGGAAGTGCTAATCATTTAGCCACTGTGCTGCCCAAATATATGTCAGTATATTTGGGAAGAATATTTTAAAACTATATTTAAAATATATTTTTCGATCACGTGGGCCTGAAGACACCCGGGGTGCCTGGGTACCCTGGTTGGAAAAGGCAGGGTTAGATGGTAAGCTTCCTGGGACAGCGAATGATGTCTGGTTTGTATTCTGTAGAGCATACAAGTCTTATAAGCTGTTTCCTCTTTGCAGTTGTAACGGCAGCCCAGGCGAAGAATCTGATCGATGCCGGAGCCGACGCTCTGAGAGTCGGGATGGGAAGCGGATCAATCTGTATAACGCAAGAAGGTAATTTAGCCGCTGGACCATGACAGTACTGTGCCGTCTTCCCGAAATTCCACCAGATTACGTGGCCTCTTACAAAAGAGGATAAAGTGGCTTCTTCCAGAGCTGTAATCTTACGTTTCAGGCACACTGTAGTCAAAATTAAAAGTAAATCCTGAAAATGCTCACAGGGAGGATAAGCCAAACCCGCTTAGGCTTCAGTTTTGAACCCCGGAAGTTACCATAGTTCTTAAGTCCTTCCACATTGTGTAGGTAATCTGAGGACACCTTTTCCTTTACTGGTTTGCAATGCCACCTACCTGATTAAACTCCGCCGTGGAAAGGTTGAATCTGATTTTGTGACACATCGAGCACACGGGAGTTTGGCCAGTGCAGGATCCAGGGGACTTTTCAACCCCAGTGTTGCCTATTCAATTGAGTTATATCTGCTTTAAAGTATAAATGTACAGAGGGTAATCTAGGTATCGAATTCATCACCATTTTTGTTAGTAAATATAACTCTAAAGGTGCTATTGACCATGTGTCGGTAATCCATGCAATCCATACATACGAAGAAACCAGAACAAATACGTTCAGAAATTAAGTTGTGTAATAAAATAGAATGACACGGGGAAAAAGTATTGAACACGCAAACTGAAATTTAATACTTCGTACAAAATTCTTTGTTGGTAATGACAGTTTCGAGACACCTCCTGTATGGGGTAACTAGTCCCATGCATTGCTCAGGTGTGATTTTGGCCCATTCTTCCACAAACAGTCTTCAAATTTTGAAGGTTCCATGGCCCTCTTTTATGAACTCTGATCTTTTAGTTTTTTTTCCATAGATTTTCTATTGGATTCAAGTCAGGTGATTGGCTGGGCCATTCTAGCAGCTTTATTTTCTTTCGTTGAGGTGACGGGAGTGACTTTGGGGTGGGGGAACCCCTGTCTCAGCTCCCCATGTTCCCATTATGTGTAAGTCACCCTGTGCCTTTTAGGAGTACAGGGTGAAATGTTCTAATATTGGTGTGGGGGTTGTTCATTGTTCTCTGCCATGCGGCTGCATCCTATTGTTCTAGCAAACTATTATGGGATGAAATGTTTGTGTATTGGTGTGGGGGTTGTTCATTGTTTAATGCCATGTGGTTGTCCCATTGTTCTATTGTGTGTCTTGCTTGGGATGGGATGCAATGTTTCCGGCAGCCCTTCCCCCTGATGGGACGGCCTGCGATGTGTTTCCTGTCTGGGTGTGTATTTCCCCGCCCTGTGTATATATCTTGTGTTTGTGTTCAAATAAAGCAGTTCACTTCCTGTCTTAAGAAGCTTGGTGCTGTCTCGTCCTGTATGGTCAGCGGTGGGGTCCATGGATGGTGTTCGGACAGGGAAGCAGGAGTCTTACAGAAATACCCTAGCGCAGTTGGGGTCCGGTTCAGTTAGTTGAAACCAATTGATTTTCCTTGGCTTTGTGTTTGGGATCGTTGTCTTGCTGAAATGTCCGCCCTCGTTTCATCTACATCATCCTGGTAGCTGGCAGCAGATTATTACCAAGAAGGTGTTGGTACATTTTTCCATTCATTCTTCCGTCAATGACAGAGTGTGCCAGTACCATATGCTGAAAAACAGCCCCACACCATGATGTTTCCACCTCCATGCTTCACAGTTGGGATTGTGTTTTTGGGGTGATGTGGAGTGCCATTTGACCTCCAAACATGGTGTGTATTATTTCATCCACAGAGTTCAATTTTGGTCTCATCTGACCAGACTATATTCTCCCAGTATTTCACAGGCTTGTCTAAATGTTGTGTAGCAAACTAAACATGTTTAGTCTTCAGCAATGGAGTCTTGCGTGGTGACGTACATACAGGCCATGGTGCTTGAGTGCATTACGTATCGTTTCTTTGAAACAGTTGTATCTGCTAATTCCAGGTCTTTCTGAAGCTCTCCACAAGTGGTCCTTGGCTCTTGGACAACTCTTCTGATAATTCTTTTCACTACTGTCAGAAATCTTGCAAGGAGCACCTGGATGTGGCCGATTTATGGTGAAATTATGTTCTTTCCACTTCCAGGTTATGGCCCCATCAGTTCTCACTGGAACATTCAGACGTGTAGAAGTACTTCTGTAACCAAAGCCATCAGTATGTTTTGTAACAATAAGAGCTCTTTTCTTTTACCCATCGTGAGATGGTTCTTGTGTGACACCTTGGTAATGAGATACCTTTTTATAGGCCATCAGTTGAGACTGAACCAGCTGATATTTGCACTGACAAGAAGCAGGATTGCTTTCTAATTACTGATAGATTGCAGCTGGTGTCTTGGCTTTTCAGGTCTTTTTTGCACCTCCCTCTCCATGTGTTCAATACTTTTTCCCTGTGTCATTCCATTACACATAACTTAATTTCTGAACGTATTTGTTTTGGTTTCCTTGTATGTATGAATTTTACGGGTTCTTACCGACGTGGTGAAAAATTTACGTCAATAGCACCTTTAGATATACATTACCTAGAAAAATGGTGACGTGTTCAATACTTTTTACCTGCTGTACATTCACTAACATTTCTACATTTGTAGAAGAGCCGTTTTAACCTTGCAGGTTGAGGCAGTTGTCAGGGCCCCGGACCCCAACAGCCTTGTATTGTCCATTGATCACTTCTTCTTTGTCACTGCAATTGGCACAGTGGACTCTTCCTCTTAAAGGTGACCTGAGTAGTGGGAGCTCCTTACATCCAACACTGTTGACCCACCTTATTGGAGGAAATTCTGAACTGCGCCACAGAAAAAGTAAAAAAAATTGGTAATTGGTGCAGCTGCTATCTCCATGATCTAAACACCACTTCAAAATATCTAAAATATTAAAGTGTTACTAAACCCACAACAGTAAAATCAGTCTGTATACGCAGTAAAGCATGCTTGTTATACTCACTGAGGATCCTATGGGGTTAATCCTCCGCATTGTGTAAAAAGACTGTTTGATCCTGTCTTCTCTGATCCTCTCTTTCTACTGTCCTCAATCCATTTGCTGATAGAAGAGAGCCTTGGGGGAAAGCTGCACATGCTCAGTCTGGTGTGTATTTTAGAGAGTGTTTTTTTTTTTTTTTTTGTTTTGTTTTTTGGGAAAGTGCATGTGATCAGCACAGTGCCAATCAGCGCTGTCCAGACAGAGGGTCAGGGGTCATGCAGTCTCATAAGACAGAGGAGAATGAAAACTCCTCCTACAATCTTTAACCAGTGCTCTCCTCGACACTGATAGATGTCACAAGACTGCTATATACTGCTGATGAGAAAAGGTATTTGGCAGTTTATATTTACTAAAAAATAATTGCATTTCCATGTTTTGTGTACTGTGGGAGACCAGATATAGTGAATGCAGGGTCCGGGGAGAGCAGATCTAGTGAATGCGGGGTCTGGGGAGACCAGATATAGTGAATGCAGGGTCCGGGGAGAGCGGATATAGTGAATGCAGGGTCCGGGGAGACCGGATATAGTGAATGCCGGGTCCGGGGAGACCGGATATAGTGAATGCCGGGTCCGGGGAGACCGGATATAGTGAATGCCGGGTCCGGGGAGAGCGGATATAGTGAATGCCGGGTCCGGGGAGAGCGGATATAGTGAATGCCGGGTCCGGGGAGAGCGGATATAGTGAATGCCGGGGGGTCCGGGGAGAGCGGATATAGTGAATGCCGGGTCCGGGGAGAGCGGATATAGTGAATGCGGGTCCGGGGAGAGCGGATATAGTGAATGCAGGGTCCGGGGAGACCGGATATAGTGAATGCCGGGTCCGGGGAGAGCGGATATAGTGAATGCCGGGTCCGGGGAGAGCGGATATAGTGAATGCCGGGTCCGGGGAGAGCGGATATAGGGAATGCCGGGGTCCGGGGAGAGCGGATATAGGGAATGCCGGGTCCGGGGAGAGCGGATATAGGGAATGCCGGGTCCGGGGAGAGCGGATAGGAATGCCGGGGAATGCCGGGTCCGGGGAGAGCGGATATAGGGAATGCCGGGTCCGGGGAGAAGCGGGGGATATAGGGAATGCCGGGTCCGGGGGGAGAGCGGATATAGCGAATGCCGGGTCCGGGGAGAGCGGATATAGCGAATGCGGGGTCCTGGGCTTAGTAACACTTTAAGGCATCGCTATCACCCACCAAATTAATAATACATCAGTGTGACCCAAATTTTGAATATAAATCATGATATCAAATTCCTAAAATATGTGAATACTGCAATTTCATGAAAAATAAAGTGTACATGTGCTGAAAAATGCAAATCAAATAAAGTGTAATGACCCTCAAAGTGTCCCGCGCTGGTTTATATCATTGACATTGTGAGCACAGGACACTTTGAAGCCCGATGGGAAGTGAGGGGAAATCATTCGGATGGTGTCCCAGATGACCATAAAAACCAGTCAAACTGCCTTCACACAATCCAAAAACCTTATTGTGTATTTTGAAGCAAAATGTATTTTTTGAGCGCCACAACTGGAAATGTAGCAAGCTGTTGTATATAATGTCTGGAAAATGGTACCCAACACATTTCGGAGGTCAGCGAGCCTTCATCACGGCTGCAAGTAATAAAGAACCTATAGTCTATTAGTTATTTTATAGGTTTTTGTTTTGCTATACAGAAATGAACTCTAGCATACAGGGGCGGACTGACAACTCATGGGGCCCCCGGGCAATAGGGAATCATGGGGCCCCCGTGTCCTTGCCCAAACTCAAAAAAAACATATGAAAAAGGTACCAGGGGCATCTTATGGGGTCCTTACTGACCCCAGGCACTCGGGCAGTGCCCGAGTTTCCAAATTATCAGTCCACCCTTGCTAGCATAATGTTTCCTCTGTTATTGCTGGTAGCCTTGATGGAGGTTCTTCCTATCCTGAAATGCGTCGGGTTTTGTATTTTCCAAGAAAAAACAAACACGTCAATTTCTACAACTTGCTTCCTCTGTGTGTAGCGCTCTCTATGACTTTCAATGCCTAATAACTGTTTGCTTCTTTGCCTAGTGACAGTTATCCCTCCATACTGTTGATT